ATTCACGGAGGGAGGTGGAGGTTGGGGCCAAGGAATCCATTGCCTTGAAAAAATGCAAATGAAAAGAGAGGGCCCTGCAGTGAAGTTGCTCTGAAGATGAGTGCGGCGGGCACAGAGCCCGGGGCATGGCTCAGACCCCGCGCGCTAGGATTGCTGTCGCAGCTGGGCTCGCGGAGCGGCTGAACGGGAGGGGGGGACCTCGCCAACTGGAAACCAGGCGTCCATCTGCCTGGCTGTCCCCATCCTTCCCCACCCTCTGCATGGCTCCTCTCTCTGTCCCAACACATCTCTGGCCTGTCCGATATGCCAGCCCCAGCATTTCAGATCTCAGCACCAATCCTGCTCTCAAGGAAGCAAGCAGCCATGGTGGGAAGGAGGCGTCCCCTGTCCCGCTCAGACCCTGCAGAGAATCTCTCCCCACAATCCCCCGACCATGGAGATTCCCTGAGTTTCACCTCCGGTCTCCCTTGATGCCAGCAGCAGGGCAGCCTGCCCAGAGCGGGGAGGGATCTCTCCATTCAGGCCCTGTCTGTGCCACACAGCAGGGCATGGTCGTGGTAAAAGAGGCTCCTTTCCCCTCCTTCCCCACCCAAGAGATGAACCCAGCACCCCAGGGTCGACCCCAGAGTCCCCACCTCGGAGCCCCCCACCCCCCCAGACCTCCCAGCGATCTGGCCCGTGGGAGGTGCTGGATGTCCTGGCCTAGACCTACCTGACATGCCGGGACCTTCCCCACAGGTGTTGCCCAGCCCTATCATCAGCTCCAATGGGCCAGGAGAGGAGAAGCTGTTTCGGAGCCAGAGTGCCGACGTCGAGATGACGACAGAGAAGGAGCGGCTGAAGAAGATGCTCTCCGAGGGGTGAGCTGCAGCCCTGACAGGGGCTTTTCCCCCGGGGAAAAGCTCAAGTGGGCTTGGAGCAATGGAGGCACACGCCTTGCTTCCCAGGGGCCCCTGGCTCGGACTCTGCACCTGTCTGGAGCAGCAGTGGCACCCAATCCTTCCAGCTACCCTTCCTGGCTCCCACAGCCACCTCTGCCCCTGTGTAGGGAGCAAGGACCCCACTTGAAGGTTTCCCACAGTCCAGGGCCCGCCGGGATGTCCTGGTCACCATGTCCAGACCCCTCCTCGATGGTCATGAGGGCACAGAAGTCCACATACACCACGGGGTGGGTGTGGGAGCGGGGTCCCGGCCAGGCCTGGCTCTGATCAGGTCATGGTAACTTGGGCATTGGCTCCTTGGGGTTGAGACCCCCATGCAAGCAGGGTCCTCGGTCCCTCATTCCCCGTCCCCTCCCGCAGCTCGGTGAGCGAGGTCCAGTGGGAGGCCGAGTTCTTCACCCTCCAGGACAACAACAACAAGCTGGTGGCTGCTCTGCACGAGGCCAACGCCAGTGTGGACCAGTGGAAGAACCAGCTGGCCGCGTACCAGGAGGAGACGGAGACACTGCGGCAGCGGGTGAGCACAGCGGGGTCCTGAGGGGAGCAGGGTGGGGGACACCTAGTCTCAAGCCCATGTGAGCCCAGACTCTGGGCTACGGGGTCCCCTTCATTCCTGCAGGCATCCACGGGGGACGGGGCTGCAGGTCTGGGGAATCACGTGGGACTCACAGGAAGGCAGCTGATGCAGAAACCAATTGAGGCATCGGGGTGCTGGCCCTGGTGTGAAGGCTCATTAGGCTCCCCTTCTCCCCCTCAGAGATGGGGCTCTCATTAGTTGCTAGGGAGGTGGCTGGTCCAGCTCCTCTCCCCATATGCAGGCAGGCTGGTAAAGCAGAGCCCCACAACTGTGGGGAGGGGGAGCACAAAGCCGGCGCGTCCTTGCATCTCTCCCATCTCTGCTACTTAAGGCTTTCCCTTTGCATTCATTGCCGGACGCTGTGCCAGGGCAGCCGTCTGGCCTGGCAGCAGGCAAGACACAAGCCTCTCAGTGGGCTGAAGTCAGCACGGGTGGGAGCCGCAGCAGAGGTGCCAGACAAACAGGCCCTTGTCCAGCTGAAAGAATGGGATCTTGTGGCTTGGGCGCTGGCAGTCAGCTGAGGGGCTGCTGCAGCCGTGGGAGTCACGTGGCCAGGAGGGGGTTCACAATGGGCCTGAGAAGGAGACTGGGGGGACCGAGGTGGGAAGGGGCCCCCAGGTCCCTTGTTCTGGGCCTGTGATGACCCATGCTGGCTCCTGTCCACGTGCAATGGAGAGTGGTTTCCAGCCCAGCCATGTCAGCACTGCCCTGAGGCCTGGATGCAGCTGGTGTGGCCATTGGCAGAGCTGTTCAAAACGAATCCTCTCCCAATGAATAATTTAAGCCTCCGTGCAGCAGGTTTCAAAAGCAGAGGGGCCGTGGGCCAAGCCCTGTCTGCATTTCCTCCACTGGCTTTCACAGAGGGTCTGACCCCGCTTTGCTGGAAGGCTGAGGCTGCTGGAGCTGGCTCCAGTGGTTTGCAGAGAGGATGTGACGTGCCCCATTCAGGGCTAGCTCCGCATGACCCACTGGCCGAGGTCTTGCCTTTGTGCTCTCCAGGGTTTGCAGAGCTGGGAAGCTGAGGCTGAGAGTGGTTGTTGCTGCAGATGGGCTGGGGAAGTGCCAGCGAGCTGCTGGGAGGAGATAGCAGGGAAGTTGTCAGGGGCTGGGCGAGATGCTCAGGACCTGATCCCCCGTCTCACGTGTGTGTCCACGCAGGTGGCTGAGCTGGAGTTGCAGGGAGCTCAGGATTCCTCCAACGAGAGCAACAAGGAGGACCTGAGCCAGACGCTGGAGGAGCTGGAGCTGCTGATCAAGTCAAAGGACGAGGTAACTGCCCCAGAGCAGACACAGCAGAGCAGCCGGGCGCCCCCACATGCAGGGGCAAACCTGGAGGGTCGGTCGTCACAGATGCCCGCGCATCTCAGGCTGTCGCCTGCCCTGTGCCCTGCAGTGGCCTCCAGAGCCCTTGGCTCATGTCGTCCCAGCCACACCTCTGTCGGTTCAGGGCCTTTCCATTGCCAGCACAAGGGAGTGTGAATCCCCGTGTTCATGCCTGGACAATGCCCCGGATGAGAGAAGGCTCTGCCAGGTGATACAGGGCGTCAACCCTCAACCTTCACTGACGTGGCTGATTCCCAGCCCATCAGCCAGGGCCTGCCATGGTCCCCCAGGCTCGTGTCTCAGCCCTGCAGCCTTTGTTCCCATTGCAGCAGGAGGCTGCTATACCAGGCTCTGTCCAGGGAATGCCTTGCTCCTGAGGTTGCCAGGCACGGGGCAATGCACAGATCAGCAGTGGGGAGGCCCACAGGGTCCCCTGGCTCCAAGAGCAAGGCCAAGCCCAACGAGCACAAGCCCTGAGGGTCCCAGACTGAGGACCACGGACAGGGGTCTGCCTATTGCCCACTTCCCACCTCCTGCCGGACAGCCTGGCTGTGCCCCCCGACCCGCTCCTCTCAGCAGTGGCTGCATTCAGCCTCTAGCTTTCTTATTGCCTATCACTTTCACAGTGTTTAAATTAATGATTTAAAGGAGCACTTTAATTACAGGGGCGGGGGGAGGGGAGTGTGGCGTCCAGTATTTGCTCATTGCATGTTCTTCCACCCAGGCTGTGTCCTGGCAGAGGCTGGGTGGAGGATCCCAGCACGGGGCGTGGGGGCCACGTGCTGTGGGGGTCGGTGTGTGCACTTCACTCTGCAGCAGTTCCCTTCCAAAGCAATGTCAGGGAGAGCTCCTGTGACCTCCGGCCCTGCCTGGATGCAGGGAAGAGCTGGCACTTCCCCATAGAGAGCAGGAAGAAAGGGCAGTGGAGGGAGGAGGCCCCGCTGACTGGGGGTGGGGGGCAGCTCTGTGGTTTGATGTGTTCAGTGCTCAATTCTTCTTTGTGGTTTAGGAAATTCAGATGCTGAAGAGCCAGAAGTGCAGCCGGTGGGAGGCCGAGGGGGAGCGCGAAGAGATGCTGCAGAAGCTGCAGGTAATAGGGGTGCCCCTGCAGAGACCCAACCTAGGACGCCAGTTCAGCCCAGAGGGATCAGTCTCCCTTTGCCTGGGGGGGGACAGAGGATGCAGGGTTGCCCAGCTCCACCATCCTGCCAGGCCCCCCGTTCTCCAGGAGGGTGCAGCTTGAAGAATCCCACCGCTTCCCCCTCTCCCGGGCTGTCAGGGGGCTCCGCACCACAGACCTCTGGTTCCTGTGGAGATGGCCAGTGAGGCGGTCCCTAGACACCCGTCGCAGGATTTTGTCCTGTTCTGTGTATTATTGGGGGCTGTTGGTGGCTGGGGACTGACCCCTGGCACTTTGTGGGGGGCTCTGGAGCAGGACTGAGATGCCCCCAAAGATGCAGTCATACATACCGCTGTGCACCAGCCCTGCAGCGCAAACCTGCCCTGTCCAGGGACCAGGGAGAAGAGTGCCCTGGATCCCTCCATCCCTTGGGAGGCTGAGGCTCAGCTCCTCGGCTGGGCCTGGCCTGGGCAGAGGACGTGTTCAGCCTGTGGGAAGGGGAGCCTCAGAGTCTCTTGCCAGCCGCCCCATGAGGAGCAGAGCTCCAGTTTCAGCCAGCCAGCGAGGAAGGGCGGGCAAGGAGGATGGATGCAAGCTGCTCTCTGCCTGCGGGCAAGGATGCAGATGGAAGCACTCGTGCTCTGTCCATTTGTGCTTCAGAGGCTGCCTGCGCCCGTCTCTGCCCATGGGGCTGGGGCTCTGCACAGGGCACAGGAGCCTGGTTTCAAAAAGAGAAGGACTTTTCCTAACACTCGATGTCTCCAGAACTGAAACACCAGGAGACAGGGCAGGGGCAGCACGGAGGGGCCTGGGCTTTTCCAGGAGCTCAGCCCCTCTACATGCAGTTTCCTGCTGGGCTTGCAGAGGCTGGTAGATGGGTTGCAGGGCTGGCCATGGGCTGCCTGGGGGTGTACGCGCATGCAGGGGTGGCTGTGGGACAGGGCACATGCTCCAGTGTCGCAGCACGAGGCAGGGGGAGGGCGGTGGCTGCAGGCCCCTGGGGGCACCTCAGCGGAGCCACGTCGCTGCCCTTCCACTGACCAGGCCCTTGCCTCCCCCGCCAGGAGCTGGAGGCCCGGAACGCAGAGCTGGAGCGACGCCTGCACCTGGCTGAGCAGACGCTGGCCGAGACCCTGGCCGAGAGGGAGAAGATGCAGAGCGAGGTCACCAAGGCAGCCGAGCTCATGGACGTCAAGATATTCGAGCTCAGCGAGATCCGGCAGGGACTGGCCAAGCTCCTGGAGAGCAACTGAGGAGCCAGGAGGCCCATGGGGAAGGCGGGGTCCCCGCCGGGGCCATCAGACTGCCGTCAGGGGCACAGGGCTGGAGCCAGGCAGGGCCCATCCACGAGCCACCGCTGCCCGGAGCCAAAACTGGCTTGAGCCACTTGCGCACAGAGCACTGCGGCCGGCGCGTCCCCGCAAGACCAGCCCTAAGGGACATCCAGGCTCCTCTGGCTCCTGGCACAGCCTGGCCCTCCCTGCGCGGCTCAGTGACTCGGCTGCCCCGGCCCCCCTGGCTCCCGCACTGCACTGCCCACATTTTTACAGCCCCTTTTCTAGCCATGGAGAGCCGCCTTTGCGTCTCTCAGTAGTTTTTGTAGGAAAACACTTGCCTCTTGTAGAACGAGCCGCTCGGCCTCCGCTGCCCAGGGAGGAGATGGCTCGTCTCACCATGGGCAGCAGCGGGTCCTCCCTTTCCCCACCCTGCCACGTGTTTCAACAGGATCTGATCACTTTGGTTCACTATCTGTGTGCACCGGGGCCTGGGAGCATGGGTGGGTCATGGCCTGGCCCCATCCCTGCTCCGCTGCTCAGGCTCATCCTCCAGAGGGGTGAGGAGCTGCAGGCTTCACCTCTGTAGCTGAATTTTAAGGCCACGGGGTTTTCTTCTTACTTTTTAAAGCTGCTTTTTGAAGATGAGAGCAGTGGCCGTACTGCGGGGAGGGTTGGTGGGGGGAGCATTTGAGATGTGGGATATCCCCTGGGGATGCCCAGCAAATTGCCAGGCTGGCATCTCGCCAGGCCTGTGAGGGTTGTGATTATTTGAATTAAATGGAGCAAATCATAGTTGCTCTTGTGTGTGGGGAAGAGCAGCCCCGTGTCCATCAATGCTGCAGCCTGGGGAGGACACCGGTCGTCTCCCCACCGGGCAGATAGATGCAGCTGGGCCATGGGACGCTGGGGAAGCGTGAGTGCTCGGGGATGTTGTCCGGGCACCGGGCTCTGACGGGGCTCGAAGCAGCTTGGGGAGCCTCATGCCTCCTCCCACGGCTGGAAGACCCTGTAGTCTCCTAGTAGCGTGCTTAGTCTTGTGCTGCCGCCCAAGCAGTGTCGATGTAGGGGGCTGGCAGCCTCCCGGAAGGGGGTGGGGGGGCACTGGGTTTGGATATTACTTTTCTCTTTGCTGCGTAGATCGAGTGTAGACAGAAGTGGTAGCGACGAAGGTTCCTGGGAGCCTGCAGAAGGGGTGAAGAGTCTTCCTAGAGCGCTAGCAAGCAGTAGAGGCCAAATCGCCTGCGCTCAGAGCGGCGTGACTCTGCAGGCCTGGCCCTCCTCCCATTCGCGCCAGGAGAGGGGACGTCAGCACCAAGCTGACAGGCAGGAAGGATCAGGCCCAAGGAACAAGTCCAAGCACGGCGGAGCTGCCCTGGGCTCTGGGAGAGCCTCTGCCTCGGCCAGCGCCCACGTGAGTGAGGGGAGTTTGGCCCATTACCCTCCAGGAGCTCAGAGCTGCGGTAGGGGTAGGATCCGCGGTGCTGGGCCTGCATGTAGGTGGGAAACCACCAAGGTTGTGGGCATGAGCCTGGCATCGCACCCATTTGCTACAGGGCGATCGGCAGGGGATGGAGAGTCCCAGGGCACACATACCCCCCCCGCCAGTGCTCCGGGAACCCCCTTCCCTCCCCTTTGGAAATAGAGCTCAGCTCCAGGAAAGCTGCCTTCTCTCCGGCTCTCTTTGTGGGGCGTGGGGGCAGCAGGGGCCGCGCGCGTTTTGTCAGCTGCAAACTCCTGGAAGATGCCGGTTGCTGACGTGTTCAGGGTCCGCTCGGCGCTCTCCGTCTCACCACCCCCGCCGCATGGCTGGCGCCTCCAGCCTTTCTCATTGATCAGAGCTGACGGCAGCAGCCGGGTCGCACCCTCGCTGAGTCAGGTCGTCGGGGCAGGCAGCGCTGGCACTGCTGCTCCCAAGGGAAACGCGGGGAAGCCTGGAGCCGAGCTGGTGCAGATCCCAGCAGGACTGGCTCCAGGGAGGAACAGAGCAGGCGCAAGCCCCAGCATGGAGCTCAGGTGAGGCCGTGACATGACTCCACCCGATTCCCTGCTGGGCTCTGCATGCCCTCCCCATGCACCTGCACACTCATCCCTAGCAGGTAGCACTCAGCTCTGCCCCCGTGCCAAGCCTTTTCCACTGCAATTTCCAGCCCAGACCAGGCTGAGCTGCCACTCAAAGCAGGAGGCCAACGGCTCTAACTAATTGCAGCGCAGTGAGCGGAGCCAGCAGCAGCACTCCCCAACCCCTGCCTCGTGGGGTGCACAGCACGGACCAGAGCCCCAGCTGCCCATGCACAAGCGGCTCGTGCAGATCCAGGCACCAGCCAGGACCTTTCCGTCTCTGAGCCCCCGTCAGTCTCCACTGCTGTTTTCCGGCCTTGCGGCCTCTGGGAGGAAGTAGCCGAGCCTCGTCCCTGCTCCACTGAGTCACGAGCAGCTGACTCAGCTGCGGTAGGGCCAGGAGGCTCCTGCCCAAGGACAGGAGCTGTGCGCCGGATGGTCCCGGGAGGCGCCTCTCTTCCAAACTGGCGCTGAATCCACCAGCACCAGCTTCCACGCCGGCCCCAACCCCACACTCAGGAGCACGACGGGCAGCTGCGCAATGGCGGGGCACTGGCTCCCCCCGTTCTGCCCCAGTGGAGCAGCAAACATTGCAGAGGCACGGCAGGGTCTTGCACGGCCCCCACTGCTCTCCGCCTGCACCCTGCCCTGGTCCCTGTGCCCAAGGGCCCTCACCCCGTCCCCTGGTTTTTATTTTTGCTTCTTTCTCCCAGTCACAGCTACTGTCAAAGTGCGGAAGAAGGCAGCATCTGCCAGTACAGGGACCTCCACCGACTGCCCAAAACTGACGCTCAGGCGAGTCCGCCGGCTGGTCGCAGGGGTGGGGATGGGCCCGGGGAAGCGGCAGGGTGGGCAACACCGTCTTCAAGGCCAGGTCAGGCTGGGATTCGTTCCCCAGCAGCGGTCAGGCCCAGCCCCTGTGGACTCCCCTGGGACTCGGACCCCAAAGCACAGAGACTGGGAACCTCTCCGGGGAGATGCTGGAAGCGCCCGGCAGCCAAGACGGGGATGGACAGGGAGGCTCACAAGGAAGCCCCGGGCAGCCCCCCAACACCGCTGACCAGCTCACGGCCCCGCCACGGAGGCCAAGTCATGCAGTTGCTCCACTCGGGGCCTGCACCAGCAACTCCTGCTCAACCCGGGGCCTGAGCCGAGTGGGGGCAGGCAGGCTGTCAGGTGAACCGTGCCAGGGCAAATCTGTAATCGAGCAACATCAATAATGGAAAACAGGTGACCGGCCCCGTGGAGGCTCCTGCGCCAGCCCCAGGAGCTCAGCTGCTCGGGCGCTCGCAGGACACGGGTTATTTTTAGTGCCGCGATGGTCTGTTTACACTCCACGGAGCGGACGAGCGTGCAGCCAGTGTAGACCTCCCGGCTCTGCCCCCACCCCCGTGGACAGCCATTTCTGCAGGCGGCAGGGACGCAATTACATGCGGATGGTGGAGACGTTCACGTATCCGCACGATAAGACACCAGGCTCCAGCAAAGCTCAGCCCCCTGCTCCCAGAGTTGCTGGTAATTAGCAGTCTCATTAGGTTCTGCAAAGGCAAGGAGAAGCCAGTGCAAGGGAAGAACGTGAGCCGGGGGACCCGGGGCTTTGCACAGGGCCCATTCCTCACCATCTGGCCTGTCCCTGCTGCGCCCTCGCAGCCCCGCGATGCCCGTTCAACACAAAGCCAGCAAGCGGAGCCGCGCCGGAAAGGAGCAGGCCCGGGGGCTGCAGCCCCTCGCATGGAAGGGAAAGGAGCTTGGACCCCAGCCCCCGGTCCCTGCAGCCCTTTGCTTCCCACCAGGCCAAGAGGATGCAATAAAAGCAGGAGGCTGCAAGGACATCACTCCTTGCTGCTGTTAATTAAACCCAGTGGGGCCAGGCTGCTTGGGGTATCGATGGATGAGGAAAGCAAAGGCCGCTTTTGGCACCGGCACCATCAACGGCTGCTTTGCTGCAGCACCAGGAGGGAAAAGAAGCGCTCTAAGAGGGACAGAGCCAGGGACGAGCCAGGCCCATGAATCACTGCGGACAGGAGAAAGGGCCTAAGCCGCAGCGGGGGCTCAGCGTGCGAGGGGAGAAGGGCAGAGCAGCAGCCTCGGCACCTGGGATGCCTCTTGGGGCACCAGGCTGAGTCCTGCCGGCTGGGCTCGAGGGGCAGGTGCAGCCGTGCCAAACCCGCACATGTCGAGGGGTGAGCCGTGAGGCCGGAGCACCAGCACCGAGGATGCTGCTGCTGCTGCTGCTGCAAGGGGCTGCCCGGGGCAGGTGGGCTGCGCCAGGGAGCGATGGCGCTGCTGGGGGCGCTCAGCCCCTCCGGTTTGACGGTGCTTAGTGGGGAGGAACTGGCTGCCCCAGCAGATGCCCTGGGCTGCGCTTCCTCCCCACCAAGGCCTGCAGGAGCCCGCAGCGTGGCTGCCAAAGCACGCCGGAGCTGCCATCTACTGGCTGGCCCGGCCGCATGGCACGCAGGGCAGGACAGGCGGCACCAGAGAGACGGGTCTGATTCGGAGCCAGCCCCGCTTGCACCTCGCAAGGGGACGGCGTGGGCATGGCCGGGCACGGAGCAGCAGGGGACTCCCCGCAGAACTCGGGCTCGGGGCAGCCGAGGACCCTGCTGCCAGGGTCAGCCACCACCGGGCAGCGGGAAGGGGCTCTTTCAGGACAGGCCCACGTGAGCTGGAGCAGGAACAAAGCTCCGCACAGCCCTGTTGCCTCAGTAAGATGAAACCTGGGTCCTGCCAGGTTCTCCTGGACGGGCTCAGTGCAGCCACCTGCCCTCCCCTCGCAAGGGACCAGGCCCTGGCTAAGGACCCGCTGTCCCGGCTTAAGCCACAGGGCCCCCAAACCCCTTCCTGCCTCCAACTTCCCTTTGCCCCCTCTTCTACAGAGCTGGGCAGAGCCGGGGGCGAGGACAGAGGCTAGACGACGAGTGCCCGGGAATGGGACTAAAGGTGCAGGAACCAGCGCTGAGCCCCTCGGGGCAGGGCCCTTGCAGCACGACAGGCTGAGGCAGGAGCCACGACGGGCCCAAGGCCGTCGTATCGGGGGGGCACAGCCATGCAGCCCCACCCCAGCTTGCAGGACCGTGCCCACGTGCCGCAGGGCCGTGCCCCCTCTGTGCTGCGGCCTCATGCTCTGCAGCAGCGCGGGGCTCGCGCAAGAGCATCCGAGATGCTGCGCTGGAATGTCTCCATGGCAACCAGAGCAGGGAAACCCTCCGAGAGCTCAGGGGAGCCCGGGCGAGGAATTGAGCGTGCAGAGCACGTGGGAGACGGGCAGCGGGAGGGCAGGCGGGCGGATGTGCACGACCAGGTGTAGGAGCCAGGGCTCCCGGGTTCTGCCACCCACCCGCAGCAGCAGCCCCTGGAGCAGTCCTAGTAAAACGGGGGCAGATTTCTTCCCTCCCCCCACACCTGCATGGCAGACAGACGCCAAGAGCAGGGCCTGCAGGGCCTGGAGTAGGTGTCAGCAGGGCTGACAAGCAACGAGGGGCTGAAAAGCCAGGCTGAGACCTAACAAACTCATGCACAGGGGTCCTGGACTGGATAGATGTGAATACACGAGCTGTGGGCAACGGCCCCGTCCCAGCCCAAGCCATCCCAGACGCTCCCGACCCCCTGCTCGAGTGAGCGTGAGAACGCCCCCTCCCCGAGCAGAGGCAGCAAGAAGATATTGCAATACAGCCCTCACCTGTCGCTGCATGCTGGAGGGAGACGGAGAGAAAACGCCAGCAGGGAGAAAGGCAGAGACTTCACACAGCATCATCTGGCCGGGACGGGGATCGCTGGCGAGAGACTCGGAAGCAGCGCAGAAAGACAAGAGCCCCCTGCTCCAGGGAGGGTCTCGTCACTGCCGCGCCAGCGGCACGTGCGGGGTTGTGCGCGTGGAGCAAGCAACCTGGTCAAACCCATTCGCTGCTACAGCTGCCACAACCATGTGCAAGCCCCCTCCAGGCTCCTCCCTGCCAGGCCATACCACACCTCTCTAGGTGCACCCAAAGCACCCAGCTGGACCTGCAGGCCCCACACTGCGCCTGTAGCCCCGAGGCACAGCCATGGGGACGCCTTGGGAAAGCCTCCGTGCACCGACTTGTGGTTGCTCCGGCCTCATCTCAGCAGGTCGCTCAGCCCCAACCTTATGCCAAATGCTGCAAGAGGCACTGCTTCCAGCCGAACAGCAGCCACCACGACAGGGGCAGAAGTGTGGGACACCCAGACACTTACAGCAAGTGAACATTTATTTGGGTGGAAGAACTGTCCCCGGAGCCAGCAGGCAGCGGCCACAGGGGGCTACAACCAGCACATAAAGGCACCAGAGAATCAAACCCGCTATTAAATCAGGAGAAGAGAGGGACCGAACCCCCACCCTCGGGCAGGCATGCGGGCAAGGCTGGGCCCCTGGGATCCGCAGGTCTTCAAGGAAGCACAAAAGCAGACACGTGCCTCAGCTCTGACCCAGGCCCTGAGGACTCCCCCTCTCCCCTGCACGGCCTGTCCAGGCAAACCCCATCCCAGGACATTCAGGGCTGCTCTTGGCATATGCAACCCATTTGCAGGGCACGTCCAGAGTGGCTCTGCTGATTGGCATTGCCTGTGCCACAGGCTCCTATGGAGGGAGCCTCTCAACAGACTGACCAAACCAAGACACTGCAAGGGAAACCTGTTTTCAGAAGAAGAGAGGCCCAGGGCATCCACAAGGATCACCAGGGAGAGGCCGAGCTAGGAGGACGTTGGTTGAGACCCAGATCCAAGAGGAGCATCCATGAGTTCAGGTAAGAGGCTTCACATGTGACCACAAAGAGCCCAGAGCCCATCGCCTCACAGCCTTCCCTGCCCCTCCTCCCCTTTCAGACACCCCGAGCCGGGTCAGGCAGCGAGGGGCTGGGCTGAGCTGAGCTGCTCGCAGTATTTCTAGACTCTGGCTCAGGGGGCAAGCCGCAGCTATAAACAAGAGTGAGTGGCAAGCACCAGCATGTTTCCTGACAGACCCTTCACGGGGAACAGAGCAAAGGGAAACCTGCTTGCATGACCCACCTCCCCCCACCTTTTCCAGGAGCCCCGTCCAGATGACTGGAACAGGACGAGGGGCTGCCCCAGAAGGACCTCTGGAAGGGGCAAGAGGGTGTCTGGCAGGGGGATCCCCGCCCCCAGCAGTTTTGGGCCCCCAGGGAGCTGGAGGCGCACCAGGGCAGGCTGCCCAGCAGCTGCTCTCGCCCATGTCCGTGCCCTGGCCTGGGGCTCTCACTTCTCCTCCTTGGCCGCCAGGCGCTGTCGCCGCCGCGTTCGCTTCTGCAACTTCCTCTTCACCTGGAGCTGCGTCCGCTCCTGCAGCGTCTGCCGGACGCTGTCACGAAACTGCTTGTTCTTCCTCTTGATCTTGGCCAGCTCTGCCTTCCTCTTCTCCTCCAGGTCTGGGTCCTGAGGGGCAAACACCAGGAGCTAATGCTCTGTGGCAGGGCCAGGCTGGCCTCCCACAGCCAACCAACCTCACCCTTCCCAGATGCCGGCCATGCGTGAGCCCAGCCGCCTGTCCTGGGGATACATCGTGCACCAACCCTGCCCGCCGCGGGGGTCACTCACTTTGCCCTCCAGGATCATCTGCTTCCGTTTGTTGATTTCCTTCTTCTCATCAAATTCGGCCGCCTCCAACTTCTGCCAAAACAAAACGCAAAAGGGGCATGAGGGCCAGGCATGCGGCTCGTCCCGGGGGGCAGCCCGGCTCTGCGGAGCAGCGAGCCAGAGGGGTTGCTGCATTTGCTGGGAATCCCCAAGCTGAGCCAGGTCCGTGCAAACTCAGCAGCTGACAGGCCCTCCCCATCCCCAAGTGCTCCCAATCAAGGCAACAATCTGTGTCTGGGGTGCTCCCAGGCTGCATCGGACAGCAGATGCAACCTTGCCTCCTCCAAACGTCCCCCCAGCTTCCTCTAGAAACAAGAGAGTCCTGCAGTCCCCACGGACTCTCCCTGCTGCACATCCAAGGGGAAAGCCACACACCCTGCCCAAGCCAGCAACACAGGGGTGGATCCCTGCTGCGCATACTTACTATCTCACACTCCCGCCGGACGACGTTCACCTGGGTGAGGATGTCGAGCACGGCACGCTCCTCCACTGAGAACTCCTGCAGCTTTGTCTCTAAACCAGGGCACAAGAGGAGCGCACGTATCAGGCACGGGCCAGGGGACAGACGGTCGCCTGGCAGCAGGTAGGGCAGCCCTGCCAAAGCCAGTGCAGCCACCTGCATTTATCTGGGCTTGAAGTGGGAATCTCCAACCCAAGGCAGAGTTTGAATCAGTTCACCCAGCTCTGTATCCACGGGTGCAAGTGCCCCAGGGGCTAGGCCGACCTTGATGCCTTCTGGCAGCACCCAGGCTCCACACTTACTGATCTGCTCCTCGATGGCATGCACCAGGTGGATGTCGTACTGTGTCACTAGTGTGATAGCGATCCCATGCCGGCCTGGAGGACAGCAAAGGGTCACTGGTGACCATGTGAGCCTGACCAACAGCACCCCCCACGCACTAGCCAGGAGGACAGCGAAGAGACGGACGGGACTAAACCACTCCAAGCACTATCTGCCCAGCACATCTGCGCTGGCTTAACAGCTGGGGGGTAACAGAGGGGAGCGAGCCAGAGGGAGGGTCATGCACAGATGCCTCTGCCATGGGCTGGTGGGATTCCAGTTCAAATGAACCTGTGCTCTGCACTGCTACGGCAGGAGGCCGGAAGCTGATCTGGCACCAAAAAGATTGCCCCGCAGCCACGAGGGAGCCTCCATAAACCCGACCGGGGAACGGTTCTTCTGTACACCCGACCTAGATCCTGTGCAGAGCTGCCACTGCCTGTGAGCCTCTTGCAAGCTTCCCTCGCTCACCTGCTCGGGCTGTACGGCCCACACGGTGGATGTAGATCTTGGGCAGGCCTGGGGTGTTGTGGTTGATGACGACTTGCACAGTGGGAATATCCAGCCCCCTGGAGCACAAGCACAGGAGTGGTGTGGCAGCAGTTCAACACAAACACTCCCATTTCCTGTTCTCAGCTTTCACCGAGAGCCCTTGGAGACTCCGAGGCACTCACAGGCCCGCGGTTTGGAGACAAACCAATTCTGGGCACTTACCCATCACTTCCCACACGCCTCCAGCAACCACAAAATGGCACAGCCTGCCCCCTGCAACCTGCCTGGCACCCACTATCCTCCTCAGGTCCAGAGAGCAAACCAGCCCCTGCCACAAGCCAATCTGCCTCCCAGCAAACTGGCAGGCTTGAGTACTCCACAGCAGGAGCTGAGCAAAGGATCCAGCTGCCCCAGCTACATGAAGAGCTCCACAACATGCCCTGAACCTGGACTGTGCTACAATGGGGAGTTCTGCACTGGACAAGGAGGGAAGAGGCAGGACCCCAAAACTGTCCACTTGCCAACCCTGCCCCTACTCTCTACAGTGGACTGGCTGCCTTGAGTGGAAACTCACTCAAGACTTTCAGCATCAAGGAGAAGTTTCACCTCCTCTTACCTGGCAGCCACGTCTGTGGCGATGAGGATCTTAAAAACACTGGACTTGAACCTGGCTAAGGCTGCAAAGCGCTGCTTCTGCAAGGGGAAAAGGATCCAGGTTAGGAGTGCTGTAGCCTCAGGGGCTGCGGGTACCTCTCTCCGGCCTCACGAAAAATAGCACCTGGCTACAAGCCCACATTGGCATGTCTGGAGCTAGGCTAGCAGAGGGCAGGTGATGGCTGAGGTACCTCAGCAGAGATGGGCTTCTGAGGCTGGCTCAGGCCTGTATGCCTTCTGCTTGGCTTGGCCCCTCCCATGAGAAGCAAGAAGGGAAGGGACCAGGAATCAAAAGCCAAAGAGCTCCCAAATCCTTTGGCTCAACAGATGAGTGAGGAAAAGCCGAAGCCCCCGGTCAGCAATTCAGCAGGCCTAGCACCCATCACGATGAAGGACAACAGCAGTCCCAGCGCCCCCCACAGCTCACCCCCACCAAGTCACTCACCTGCTTCATCATGGAATGCAAAGCCACCGACGGGAAGTTGAACTTCTTCAGCATCATGTTCAAGATCTGACAATCCCTGAAGGAGGAAGTATTTCCCCATTATATTCACAGCCATCGTGGGAGTGGGTGAACCAGGGCACGACCAGGTAGTGTCCAGATCCTCTTGTTCTCCAAGCACCAAAGCAGTGCTTGAACAGCAGCACCTTGGCTGGGCGAGCAGGCAGGATGCCTGCTCCACGGTTAGCATGAACTCTCCTGTGGACACTGGCTGTTCTTGGGGGTCAGGGAATGCTGGCCGGGGCCCTTGGGAAAGGTCAAGCTTTTGGAAGAGCACTACAGGCTTTTCCAGTCCACCAAGACACGTGAATATGGAAGGATGGAACTTGGGATTAACTTCATGTCACACATTAAATCGCTTGCCGTTTCCTTCCCAGGGAAGAGGAGGAAGTGCTGCTTTCCCATCCCCTGCTGGCCAGGACAAAGGCAGGGCCCTGGAAGCAATTAGGCCAGGCCCCTCCACAGGGTTATATTTTTAGGTACTGCAAGACCTGCCCTGCAGGGGCCTTCTCAGGAGGTAGGGAAGGACTTGCCTTAAGTTCAGCTTGGGCTAGAAAAGTGAATGCTTTTTCTGGCTTTGCTGATAACAAGGAGGAGGCTGGGGGATGAGCCCTAGCAGCCATAACATGAACTGGTGCACGGTGAGAGGCGCTGGACTCACTTGCAGGTACTGGTGAAGATCATAATGGACCAGTCCTCGTGCTCGTCCTGGAACGTCTGGATCAAATGGACCAGGTACGCGTCCTTGACTCTCTCTGGCACAAGCAGGTAGCGCTGATCCAATTCCTCTACTGTTCGCACTCTGTTTTGGGGGTGGGGAGAAAAGGCCCCACGGGTGTTATTCCGAGATGCCACAATGGGTCGAATCTGGGGCTAGAATGGCAGGGTGAAGAGAAGGGGCAACATCACAGGAGGGGGAAGCATGTGTGAACTGAACATGAAGCAAAGCAGCAGAGACTTACTCTGCCAGAGATTCCCAGAAGAAGGGTTTGTTCATGGCGAGACTCTTCAGCTCATTAAGTGTCTCGGTCAGCGTGGCACTGAAGAGCAGCGTCTGCCTGTTTGCTGGGACTGCTCCCAGAATCACCTCGAGGTCCTTGGTGAAGTCAGTACAGCCCTGCTCCAGCAGCCGGTCAGCTTCGTCCAAAACCTTAGCCAAGGCAAACAAGAAGGGTCAACCCCAGCTGTGAAGAGCAGCACTGCAGGGCAGGAGGATCTGAGCTGAACGCAGGTCGGGGAGCCAGGGCCGCCAGTTCTGACCTAGGGTAACGTGCCCAGGCACAGCAGGTCAAGCGGGAGAAGTTCTTGCAAGCAGGAAAGAAACTGAACCACCGCCTTACCAAGAACTTGATCTTCTTGAGGCTGAAGGTGTTGGAGCTGCGGAGGTGATCGGCCAGCCGGCCGGGTGTTGCAATGACAACATGAGGCTTGCGGGAGAGCTCCAGCGCCTGGGCCACCATGTCTGAAACACAGCAAGGAAGCGTTTACGTTTAAAGTGTTTCCTTCGTTTCTAGCGCGACGGTGGGTCCCCTCAATGAGACACGAGCAGCCACGTGTGCTGAACTTGGCTTGTGTGTAAAGAAATATTTTCAGTCAACAATAAATCACACAAACAAACTGTTTTGTTCAGACTGTTGTTTCAGTGACGAAGCAAACCAGCATCCAGATCCTAATCTGGATTAGTTCTCCCTTCTTGCTGTGGTTGTTGAAAAGGGATAGCCAGAAACCAGGTCTGGAAAACCAAGAGATGCCACATTTTGGTGCTGAATGTGAGATTTTTACCAATATGGAGAATGCCACGGCTTCTGGACAAGCACAGATTCCCCCAAGTCGCTGTATGGTTTCAGCTCGCGGTTCCTTAAACAGCCCTGAAGCGAACCAGGCAGAGGCTTAGTTCTGCCTAATGGGCTAACAGAGTCCGGGTCGTAACCAGCCCGCACCTACCCATTCCTCCGACAACGATGCAGTCCTTCAATCCAAGCGGCTTTCCCAGAACGCGGAACTGCTCGGCAATCTGGTAGGCCAGCTCCCTACGAGAGAGGAGGAGGGAAAGCACGGAAAGGTTACGGGGCCCGTCTTTCTTACCCGCACCCAGGACCTCCAAGGACGGGGTCGCAGGGAAACCACAGCCGGAACCGGGAAGCTAAGACCCAATAGATTCCGCCCCCCCTTGTTCATAAAGTGATTTATCGCCGCGCAACGTCGACGAGGCCCAACACTCGGCAACGTTCAAAGCGAAACGGGATGTTTACGGGGATGCTCGGTTATCCCGTAACGCCGAATCCAAACCGGTTTTGGGGAGGGAGGACGCTGGACTCGTGTGAACCCTGAGTCTGATCTAGCACCGCTGAGCGCGACACCCCCGAGACATCAACGGATGCAAACGTCTGCCCGCTCCCTTGCTCCTCCCGCCGGACCAGGGAGAATGGGGCGGTTCGGGGCAAGGGGGCAGCATCCAGCGAGCGCCTGCCCCGGCGACGCACGAGGTCCCACCCAGCCCCAAACCACTACGTGCCCCGCCACCGAGCGCCCCTACCTGGTGGGCGTCAGCACCAGGCAGAAGATGCCGTAGGGGTCCTCCGAGAGCTTCTGCAGGACGGGCAGGACGAAGGCCGCCGTCTTGCCGCTGCCCGTCTTGGCGCAGCCCATGCAGTCGCGACCTGCGCGAGGGAACACGTGAAGCCAGGACCCCTCCAGGGACCGCTCCCCCCGTGCAGCCGCCCCCGGGAGCACTCACCCTGCAGGGCGGGCGTGATGCAGGCGGCCTGCACGGCGCTGGGGCGCACCATGCCCAGGCGCCGCGCCTGCTCCGCCAGCCAGGCCGCCAGCCCCAGCGCGCCGAACCCGGCCATGCCAGCGCACAACCACCGCCCGCTTCCGGCGCACGCCGTGTACGTCACCACCCTCCCCGCCCCACTTCCGGCGCTCAGGAAGTGACACTGCGCGCTGCC